ACATAGACCTTTCTCCTGTCATGTGTCGTGAGCATCCAGAGTCCAGGTACCATGATTGGTGTCCTGACTTTGCTGCTAAGAACATCTGCAACAGGAATTATTTTGTCTTTAGGTACCCAGATCTTCTTGGGTCCTTTGGGGTTAGTTGGTTTGCAAGTTTGTCTAAACTTCTGTTTTGCAACATAATGTTTATTCTGACTTGCCTTTGGTTTAAACACATAAGTACTCTTCTCAGAGCTTGTGTGTTTAATGTCATTCAGATGACCAAATTTGAATTGAGAGTACAGAGGTGTCTTCCTGATGAAAAGTTTGTCAACAGGTTTTGGATTGCTTTCAGATGAGGACTCATATCCAATGCCTCTTCTGTTGTTTCCACTAACACCATAGATCATGGAAGCCATATTGCTTCTGTCTATGCTCTTAGTGAGAAACCTCTGAAAACTAGAGTCATATTTTTCTAAAATATTTTCACAAGACTTAGTTTCAGAATCAGATTCTTGTTGAGTTCTATCAAAGTCATTTTTTATTTTTAAATTCATTTCCTTCTGCTCAACAAGTTCTGTTTTCAGAAGATCAATCTCAGATTCAAGATTGCTTTTCAGCTTCTTGTATTTGAGTTTGATGTTGTTGTAACTTTTAAGAACTTCTGTTAAAACTTTAATGAGTTCTTCTTTGGTAAGTTTGGCCATTACCTCTTCTGCATCATCATCAGATTCAGATTCTTATTCATATCCAGAGGTACCTTCCTCTTGATCCTCTGTCCTGGCCATCAGTGCAACGTTTGCACATTCTTCTTCTGATTCAGAAGATGACTCACACTCATCAGAGTCATCCCATGTTGCCATCAGAACCTTTTTCTTCTTGTTGAACTTCTTCTTAGGTTTTTCTTTCAGAAGTTTAGGGCAGTCATTCTTGTAGTGCCTAGGTTCCTTGCACTCATAGCACACCACTTCTTTCTTGGCAGATCTTTTGTGACTGGAAGATTCTTTTCTGTTGTCAGATCTTCTGAAGTTGTTAAACTTCTTTCCCTTGTGCTTCCAGAGTTTGTTAATCCTTCTGGACAGCATGGACAACTCATCTTCTTCTTCAGAAGAAGATTCTTCAGAGCTTTCTTGAATAACCTGCAAAGCTTTAGCAGTTTTGTTAGATTTTAAAGCTATGGATTTACCTTTATCTTTCTTCTGGGGTTCATCTTCCTCCAGCTCAATTTCATGGCTTCTCAAAGAACTGATGAGTTCTTCTAAGGAGATCTTGTTCAGATCTTTTGCCATCTTTAATGCAGTCACCATTGGTCTCCATCTGGTGGGAAGACTTCTGATGATTTTCTTGACATGATCTGACGTTGAGTAACCCTTGTCCAGAACTTTCAGACCAGCTGTAAGAATCTGAAATCTAGAAAACATAGTTTCTACATTTTCAGAGTCTTCCATTTTAAATGCCTCATACTTCTGTATGAGCGCCAGAGCCTTTGTCTCTTTAACTTGGGAGTTTCCCTCATGAGTCATTTTGAGTGATTCAAACATATCATGAGCAGTATCTCTGTTAGTAATCTTCTCATACTCAGTATGAGAGATTGCATTAAGCAATATAGTTCTGGCTTTGTGGTGATTCTTGAAGTCTCTTTTCTGCACTTCAGTCATTGATTTTCTATCAATCTTTTTGCCATCCTCTCCAGTAGGATGTACATATCCATCAATGACCAAATCCCAAAGATCAGCATCATACCCAAGAAAAAAACTTTCTATTCTATCTTTCCAATAGTCAAATTTTTCTCCATCAAACATTGGAGGTTTGGTACTGATCCTATCCTTCTCTTCATATTTATTGTTGATATTTGACATTGAATTATCAGCCATGATAACAAATAAATATGTTGATCAAAGTATATCTCCTCTGGATCTTTACTGACACTATTAAGTGATAGCACACTCAGAACCAGGCTCTGATACCAACTGAAGGTGAGATATAACTTAGAAGGGGGGGTTGAATAAGTTTGGAAAAATAATACTTGAAATAAATCACACACTTATTTTTATCCTGGTTCGTTAAACAACTACTCCAGTCCACCCTTCCAGAGTGATTTGCCTTTCTCAACAAGGTCTTAATCCACTATTAAATCAAACTGATTACAATAGTATCACCTAAGAACTACAGTTCTTAGTCTTCTCAAGAGCTACTGATTCACACTGAATCCTCTTAAGGAAATTCCTTTACAAACAATGTAAATTAAATACAAGAGTTTTTAATGCTTCTATAAAGCTATAATCACAACAGTGATTTTTCTCTTAAGATTTAAGTACAATAAGATTCTATAAAGAATAAGAATGAGAACTTAAGAATATGTGATTTCTTTTCAGCAAGTGTATAGCTCAAAGGTGTGTAACTGAAGAATGAAGTGAGAGGCTCCTTTTATAGGCAACTGAATTATCCACGTTGAAAAGAGAGTCTAAAAGGTCTGAGCCTTTTTGTCTTCACATGTACTGACCTTTCCTTGAAATAGATGGCACAGATAAATCCTTTTTGTCTGTGTAAGTGTGTCTAGCACAAATAAGGAAAGAGACGTTGAATGATTCCAACGGATACATTCTTGAAAACACTTCTTCAGTTTCAGCAAGTTCTTCAGAGTCTGAATGGATCAGAGTCTTCTGATGAGTTTCAGAACTATGCTGTATCAGAGTCTTCTGCAGCTTGTGTGCTTCTAGCGTGTTGATCATCAGAGCATCTTGACACAGAGCTTCAGTACTTGGCAGCGTGGGTACTTTCAGAAACTTCTGTAGATCAATGCTTTGAGAAACTCTTCAATCAATATTCTTTTAAACTTCAGATGCTTCAGCTTCAGATGCTTCTGATTATCTTCAGATGCTTCTGACTCAGAATGTTCTGGAGCTTATTTCTTCAGATCCTTCTGGAGACTACGCTCAGGATCTTCTGTAAGGAGCAAGCAGATTCTTCTGGGATATGCATCTGGCGCTTCAGAGTCAGAATAACTTCTTGTATTCAAAGGCAGATTTGCTTCTAGAGAGTCAATATAATTTTAATCTGCAGTAAAACTCTCAAACAAATTTTAGAGTATATAATTCTTAAATATAAATTTCCTAACAGTTATCATCAAAACAAAGAGTAATTATTAAGAACCAATCTGTGTTCTAACAGATGTTGCATTGAATATGTGGTAAGACTAAATGTGATAGAATTAAAAATAACAATATTAAAGAAAATATTGAGGTAACGCCTTTAGTAAAGAAGATGGTGAAAAATAAATTTAAGTGGTTTGAGCATTTAGAAAGAATACACGTAAATTTTATAGTAAGCATAGTAGATTAGATGAAAAAAAATAAAACAAATTAAAGAAAGATGAAAACCTAAAAAATTTATAAGAGAAATTATTAAAAAAATTTCAAAATTAATAATTTAAATAGAAATATAATCCTATCTAAAATATTATAACAAAAGTTGATTCTTATAACCAATTTCATTTATTTAATAGAATAATTGTTGTCATTCTATTCGTTGTTTTAATAAGTTTGAGTATTGTTATTCTCATTTATTGATATATACTGTTTATTATTAAAAAAATAGAATATTAATTTTTTTATTATCGCAATGATAATTATTATGAAAAGTTTAAATAAGATGACAGAAAAATGTTAAATTTAGTAATCAATTTTAATTTTACCTTTATTTTAAAAATAATGTAATCTATTGTAGTCCTGCCTTAAATTGAAAATCACATATTAATATAATTTATTGACTTTGTCATAAAAATCACCTCTTTTCTAACTTTAAAGAAGTACAAATTAATTTATGTAGAATGAGATACAATTGAATTGAATGGTGGTTGGAATGAAAAAGTTGAAGAAAATCAAATAAAAATGTTGAAAATTTTGTTCACACCTACAACACTAAACCTATTTGCACTTGTCATCAGAATAATGTGTGGTAGGACTTTTTTTGTATTTGGTTGCACTTAATTATTGAGTAGTTTAATTATTTTAATTTTGTTCCAAAATATTAATAATTTACCTTAATAAATACCTAAATTTGAAAAATAATTAATAATTAGGATAGTAGTATCTTTGCCTCAATCAAAATAGCATTTTGATACAAATATACATCAAATAATTATTCTTACATTTATAACGATAAAAAGTCACCTTTTATACTCTTTTTTATTTTTAATTTAAGTGAAATAATAAAATAAACATTTATTATTATTATGGAAATTCTTACACATCGTGTCCAGACCATATCAACCAACTCACACCATTGATAAAATCAGAGCGTACGCAAAAATACAAATTAGTAGGTGAAAAAAAAGAATATCCATTCCTATTAAATTTATTATTAAAAAAAATATTATGACTCAACGTATACAATCTCGTCACAAACTCAAAGTCTATTTTTTTCTCCAACTTTGTTGACAAAAAAAAACACAAATTGACATTTTGCTAATAAAACATTATTATTATTAGTGACTGTCGGCCTTCCAAAACCCGCCTAATTTTCAACCTCAAGTTGCTGACGTAATTGCAAGACAGATGGATATAATTGATGGTTATGGCCTAAAATATCGTTTGTTTAAAAAAAATAAGAGCAGGGTATTTTAAACTTACAGATACTGTATTTTTTAAATTAAAAAATTTTTTTTTATGCTAATATTGACATTTATAAAAATTTAGAAAAAAATTCAAAATTTAAACGGAACATATATATTAAAAATTTGATGACGTGTATGGTATCGTAGCTGAAATTTGCTGCCAGTCTTCTCTTCATTCTCCTTCAGATGAACCTTCCTTTATTTATTATTTTGACTAGACTCAATTAATTCAAATGTCTCAAAATCAACATTAAATTCCTACATCTTCAAGCTATAAATAACCACCCCATACTTCATTCCTACACATCATTGCAATCAATCTCTCAGCTATAAACACAAACAATTTCACTTTCTTTGCTAATATAACACTACATTAATCATTTTTATACTAATATAATCAACAATGGGAGTGATGAACTTGGATCAACCACAATTGTTGTCTAAGATAGCCATTGGTGATGGCCATGGTGAAACTTCATCTTACTTTGATGGATGGAAAGCCTACGACAAAGATCCTTTCCATCCATCCAAAAATCCCAATGGAGTCATCCAAATGGGTCTGGCAGAGAATCAGCTTACTGCTGATATGGTTCAAAATTGGATAATGAGTAACCCAGAAGCTTCTATATGTACCATAGAAGGAGTTCACAATTTCAAACAGATAGCCAATTTTCAGGATTATCATGGTTTACCAGAGTTCAGAAATGTGAGTAGTTAGTTACAAGTTACATTGATACATAGACTTCGGAATTTGAGTATTGTTAATTGTTTGATGTTTGTAATATAATGTATAATTGAATCTGAATTTGAACAGGCTGTGGCGAAATTCATGTCAAGAACAAGAGGAAACAGAGTGACGTTCGATCCCGATCGGATCGTCATGAGCGGCGGAGCAACCGGAGCTCATGAGGCTACGGCGTTTTGTTTGGCCAATCGTGGTGAAGCTCTTTTGGTGCCTACTCCTTATTATCCAGGGTATGTACTTTCAATTCAATTCAAATTCAACCAGAGATTTTAGATTCGAACACAGTCTTAATCACACAACAATGTTAAATTGTTTCGAGAGAAATATTTTTATGGTTGATTCTCCTCGACTTGAGTGATTAGTCTCTGCAATTGTGCACAGAGGATATCTGTTTTGTTTATTAATTTATACAATAATGAAGAAGTGTAGCTTTCATATGTTCAACCTAATAATTTAAAATTCATTTATAGTATTTAATTTTGATGGCACTGACTTTTTCTTAAGGGAATAATTTGCAATATTTAAACTTCAACTGTGTTTGGCACCATTACTTCAATTTTTTTGTTGACGATGTGTTCATCCTATACACACCAAAAACTTTATGTTAAATTAATCATTTAATATAATATGATATTTAGTATTTTTCTAATGAAATGCTTTGATTTCTTAATGCAGATTTGATAGAGATTTGTGTTGGAGAACCGGAGTTAAACTTGTTCCAGTTATCTGCGAAAGCTCTAACAATTTCAAATTAACCAAACAAGCCTTAGAAGAAGCATATGAAAAAGCCAAAGAAGATAACATCAGAATCAAAGGTTTACTCATCACAAATCCATCAAATCCTTTAGGCACTGTTATGGACAGAAACACATTAAGAACTGTCATCAGTTTCATCAACGAAAAGCGTATCCACCTAATAAGCGACGAAATATACGCTGCAACGGTTTTCAGCCACCCGAGTTTCATAAGCATAGCTGAGATAATAGAACACGACACAGACATTGAATGCGACCGTAACCTCGTTCACATAGTTTACAGTCTTTCAAAAGACATGGGATTCCCGGGGTTTAGAGTCGGTATAATATACTCTTACAACGATACCGTTGTTGATTGCGCGCGCAAAATGTCGAGCTTTGGACTAGTTTCAACACAGACACAGTATTTGATGGCGAAAATGCTATCCGATGACGAATTCGTCGAGAAATTTCTTGCTGAGAGTGCGAAAAGGTTAGCACAAAGGTACAGAGTTTTCACGGGCGGATTAATCAAAGTCGGAATCAAGTGTTTACAAAGTAACGGCGGACTTTTCGTGTGGATGGACTTAAGAGGACTTCTTAAGAATGCGACATTCGAATCAGAACTCGAACTATGGAGAGTGATTATTCATGAAGTTAAGATCAATGTTTCACCTGGTGTTTCATTTCATTGCTCTGAGCCAGGTTGGTTTAGAGTATGTTATGCTAACATAGATGATAGAGATGTGCAAATTGCATTGCAAAGGATTAGATCATTGGTGACTCAGAATAACAAAGAGGCTATGGTTTCTGATAAGAATTCTAAACCTTGCTGGCATAGTAATTTGAGGTTGAGCCTTAAATCAAGAAGGTTTGATGATATTATGATGTCACCTCATTCTCCAATTCCTCAGTCACCTCTTGTGAAAGCCACTACTTGAATTAATTAGCATGTTTTTATTTGTTTAATATCATATAGATTATGAAGAAATAACTGATAGAAGATTTTTTGGTTTAATTTGTTGATTTGTTATTTTAGGAGCCTAGATAATAGGTCCTTTAAATGTTGGGGCATTTTTTTCTTTTTTCACTTATTGAATCACATTGTGGTGAAAGAAGTTTATAGAACTATTTGTTTGTAATTTGTTTGAAGGGTTCAGAAAATATCTGTAATCTTTTAATGAAATTTGTATGGTGAATTATGAAATTGTTAATAAAGTTGTTGAATTATACTACATGTTATACTAAAGAATATTTGGATTAACCAATAACACTGACTTCGAATTCAGTCCGGATTAGATTATAATTCTCTTTAATTTAAAAAAAAAATTAGTCTCTGTAATTTTGCGCGGAAGAAACTCGGTTTATAAAAATAAATTTGAAAGAGAGTAATTTGATTCTAGTATTAGTGTCCAACTTTGCAAAGCATATGGTACAAAATGATGCAGAGATTTAGTCCAGTCAAAAAATTATAAAATAATATTAGTATGCAGTCTCAGTTTTACAACTCATATTCCATATTTGAATATGACTTAAGGTTGCTTAAATTGAATATGAGCAGTTTGATTTTCATCCAGAGACTCAGATGGCTTGCATGAATTTTGTAAAGGGTCTTCTCAGTATTTGACTGTTATTTTTAATGGACAATTTTAAAATACCTACTTAGTAACACTAATGATAATTAATGATAGTTTTATTTATTTATTTTTAAAACTTATACTATAATAAAAAAGTTTGAGTGTTGAATATTGTTGTTCTAGGACCTCTAAAATATCTTCAACAGAAGAATTTTGACAGATTCTTTAAAAAAAAAGTTTATTGTGTTTTTTTATTTATTTTTAATATTGGGGTATTTTGATGTGTAGTTTGAGATTTGTTAAAAATAAACTCTAGGAGCAATTTTTTCTCTTTTCATTGAGTAAAATTGAAAATAGATCAAACCAACTAACCAGATTTATGATCTGCAATTTAAGGCTAGTAGATTTTTTTAAGCAGAAAAATCTTAGGTTTTTTATAAATTTATTTAATTAAATAGATTAGATCAAAAGCTATAAAAAAATTTATAAATCTATTAGATTGATTTATTTTGATAAATATATATTAATAACTATTTTATTGTATTTTGTATTTTATAATTATTTAATTTGGTCTATTAACTTTAAAAAAAATTATTTTGATCCCTCAATTTTTCAAAACATATTATATTACTCATTTCGGTCAATTATGTTAATCAAAATCAATTTATAACATATCTGATTTAGTGACGGAAAAATCTGCCACAAAATTATATTTTGGGTTATTTCTATGATTATTCATATTCTTCTACAAATTGATTCAAATCAACAAGAATCAAATTCTTCAGAGTGGCAGAAACTGCAATAGCACTGATGAGACAAACAACTGGTGTAGCAACAATAATTACTCTAAGCATAACTATATAATTATGAAGAGGAAATAGAGCCCAACTGGAAAAAGGAACAACAGTATAAGAAAATCAACACTACATGCACCAGTTACAGTGATAGTTGAAAAATGCTTAAAGCAATTTTATATCTCCAAACAAATGTTTTAGCCAATCCAAGCAAATGTAAAACAAGGAAATAATACATTTGATTTACCATAGTATAATAAACAAAAGATCCACCCAAACATATTAAAACAAGGAAATAATATATTATTTTAAACAATTATAATAAATGAAAGTTTAAATCAATCGAAAAAAATTGTTGTAAATTCATTCATTTCCAAAAACTTTGAGGAGGACGATGTTGTGAACCAAGGTCGCGAGTTGGTGAGTTGTGAGTTCTAACTTTCTAAATCACTAGACGCATCTAAATATGTGTTAGGAGTCACAAAATTAGTCTAAAAAGATGAGTGTAATATGTCCTCTGAAACATAAAAAGAAATTGACGTTGTTATTGACATTTAGATGGAAAGGACTAACATGGTATAATTTGCAGAGTTAAGAGATTAAAATGGTTTTTTTAAAAATTAAGAGATTAAACTGGATCCCAAATCAAAATTAACGGACGAAAAAGAGTATTTAGCCTATTAAAATGCAAAAGTAAAGATCCATCATCTTGAAATACTTATGAAAATAAGTTAAAATTTTTTATAAACGATTTCATAAGTTCTCTCAAACTAATAGTTTCACAAAACTTATGCTATTAGGTAAGTTCGGATAAATAAGTGCAAACACACATTTGTCTTATTGTTCTTTTGATTTACGAGTATGTTTAAACATTAGTTAAATTTTTTATTTATATATGTTAAAATGATATAGGTTTTTTAAGTAGACTAACATGTCAATTCAACTATCAAAGGATTAAGAATAAGTTTATAATAAACTGCTAATTATTTTTAAGTTTAGAATTTTTTAAAAGGCTAAGTCTACCTCAACCCAACTTATTTACACTTCTATTCTCAAACCCTTAACCATTTAAGTGTAATTTTAAGAAAAAACTATATTGGTGGGTCAAATATGTGTTTTGCTTGTTTATGAATAAAATTTAGTTTGATTGATTGAAAATTATTTAAATAATATGGGACAATATTAGCCAATAAAAAGTAGGGTTAAATATGTGTCTTGTCTTCTTAAATATTGAAAATTTTACTTTTAATTTTTAAAAAAATTTCTTTAAAAATGATTCTCCAAATATATTTTATCCATACATTAGGTCCCTGATATTAAGTGTCTCTAACGAAATCTTATGTGGTATAACAAATGATTATTTATTTTGCTATGTTAGCAGTTTAAGTGATTGTTATGGTGGATTTAATTTGATTAATTGTATATTCATGTCATTGTATATCGATTAAAACATATTTGTTTATTTTTTTTTTTGGAATACTTATTGAAAAGTCATCTTCTGCAAATCAGTTTGCCTAAGTCACCAACTCTCTCTTCTCCAAATTTCTTTCAGTTTGCACATATAAAACACATAACTACAATCATATTCATTTAGCTTCGTTTTAATGTCGTTTTTCAAGAAAAACTCAACTAAAGTCGTTTCTATGTATTCCTCATCTATAAAAGCTCGAACTGGACATTTGTGTAGGTGTCATGGTCGTATGGTTTTGTATCAACACAAGAAGGGACCAAATAAAGGATGTTTTTTTTTGGAGATTTCCATTTTGGCGGGTAATGACACACGTGATTTGTTCATATGGGATGAAGACATTGGAGAAAAATATGAAAATGAAGATGGAAGCAATATGAATGAGTTGGAAGAATTGAGTTATTTGAAGAAGTTGTATGAAGATTCAAAGAAGAAGAACAATAATTTGAAGAACAAACCGAATTCACAGACATTTTCTAGAAGATGAAAAATGTTATGTTTTGTAATATCTTTTATGTTTAATGTCAATTTTGTTTTGAAATGTAAATGTTGAAGTAGACTTTGAATTAGATTGTTAATAGCTGAGAGGCATTGATGTTAAGTTAAAAATGCATAACATTCAAATCTATGTTTTGACAATGTTTGTTAATGGATTGTTGATTTTGTTTAAACAATTGTTATGGTTAGCACAATTATTGACACATCTAGCATTTCTTTGTGTTAAATTTAGAATAGTAACACTTAAGTTTTGAGCTAAAATTTACCTTTCTCTGACTTAATATTGACATATTAACACTTTAATTTTGGACTGATATTTGCGTTTCTTGATTTAAATTCTACATAATAACACTTTAATTTTAAACATGGTCTAGCCATAGTTTAGCTTTTTGAAACTTGTTATGACAGTACAAAAGAGATATACAACCACTCAAGATAAAACTTGGGATAATATAAAAGCGGAATTTTTGCAAAAACTCAAGATACAACCAGATTGACAAACCATCATTCTTGGTCATAACAATAAAATGCTTACAATACCAAATTAAAATGAAATCAGTTACACATAAGAGATGTATGATGTCACATAATCATCCCAGTAAAGTACAAACAAAGTAAAAAAATAATAAAGTACATAATTCATGACAAAATTTCACCCCTTTCTGAATCATGAGACATGTCGTTTTGAATTTCATCCCAAGTATTCATTTTTCTAAAATTACCACCAATTGTGTCTTCTTCTTTAGGAATCACCGGTTGATCTTCAGCATTCTTTCTAGGTCCCATTATGTCCTATGTTTTGAACTTCATAAGTCTATCACTCTTTCTTTTTTTGAAGTGAAGCATGATTTACTTTTTTTTCCTCATCTATAAAAGCTCGAACTGGACATTTGTGTAGGTCCCGACGGCTGCTTCTGTCTTCGGGTGGCGTCGGGACGCCGTAAAGTGTTTGGAGAACAGGTCCTTCAAGACCCTCCATGACGTAACTGATTCGGGCTCCAGACTTTTGTACCAGGTCATAGCGCCTTTCCTCAGAGTCGTCGGGAAGATTCTGCACTTGATAGCTCCCCGGACGTTTCGGTAGTCGAGCATAGCCTCGATGTCTTCCAGGTGATCGTCCGGGTCGGAGGTGCCGTCGTATGTCGACAGCGTCGGTGGTTTCTCCATCCCCTGGGGTATGGGGGCAGCCATGATCTCCCGGGACAGCGGGGTGCGGTAATCATCCTCGTCGCTGTGCGCCGGGGATTTATGGGGAGATGAGTCGTTCAAGGTAAGCCCCTGGTTTCGGGTTCTCGATCTCCTGCCTGAGTTCTCGCCTCGAGGGTCTTCGGTTGGGATCGCCGCGGTGTTTTGGTTCCTCACGCGAACGTGTCTTGCTGGGGATCTGGTGCGTTCTCGTGTCACCTGGGTGCGGTGCCTTTCCAGCCGCGGCCGGCGGCTTCTGGGTCGAGGTGAGGGGCTCCTCGAACCTCCGTTCTGGTTTTCCCACGGGGGGTACCTTGGAGGATCGATGCGTTCTAATGCTCCGATTCTCGCATTTTGTTGGAACAGCAGCTGGTTCGTCTGGTTGATGGCCGTAAAGAGAGCGGCCACCGTTGGGTCCG